TAGTTTATATGACCATATAGAAGTATTTGTACAATTCATTCAAAATGAACCCACAATTTCTGAATGAATGATTTTAAAATGTTTTGGAAAATCATGAAATTGGTAAATAAAGTACATTGAAGGACCAAATGGAAGAATTCATACAATTCCTACCAAAAAGAACCCACACTTCGTGAAGCTTTTTGAAAAATCTCAAACTTTGAAAATTTATCAGCAATTTCTAGTAAATGTTATACTGATATAAAAACAATATCATGAATGCAACAAAATTTTACATAGAAACTGTACAATTCTTCTGATGTCCTTTTTAAGAAAGGTCCACCGTTACAGATGAATTTCCATGTTAGGATCCACCAACAAGCTATCCAAAAAGAATTATTTCTTATTCTCAGACCACCAAGGGTAAACAGGAAGTCAATCATCAGTGTATTTGTTAATTTACAATAGACGCCCGTCCTCAATCTGTGGATTTATAAAGCACTTCGGTCATATCCTGTAAAAGTTATATTTTTGCAGCTTCTAATTTTTTCCACAAATTTATTAAATTACTCTATTTTACGGGACCTAGTTTCCATAGATTTAAGATCTAGTGGCTATACCACAAAGCGATATGGTAAGGATAAATTAAACTCCTTACAATTTCGCGGTTTGTGGTTTTTGCAGAAAAATGGTTAATGCGAAAGACGGGACAAATAGGATCCCTAAAAAAAACACAAAATTTTACAGTACATATCAGTTTGTGAAAGTATCCATTTGGAAAGCTTGTTGATGGTTCTTATCATGTAATGCTAGTACTAAATGGTAGTGATTGGAAATATACTGTGTAGGGGCACACAACACTGATTGAATGGTTGACAAGAACAGTTATCTCCCTTCATTTTGGAAATTAGATATTATTCATTATCCATCAACCAAAAGAATCCAAATCAAATAAAAAATTGGACATAATTTCATATTAAGTTGCATAAAAAGAATATATATAATAAAATTCTGCTGAAAATTTTTATTCAAAATTTATTCCAATTATTCTTTTCGTCTAAAATGTGTACAAAATATGCCAAAATGTGCCAAATGTGATGGAGATGTTTCTGTTCTGAAATCAAATTTATACAAAAGAGCTAGATGCATATATATATGTAGCTATTGCTAGTTTTAGCTGCTTTTTTACTCGGCCTGATGATGACTGTAGTGGCTGTTCCAGCTTTTCAAAAATACGATAATGTGATGCTGCATGTGCATATTTAACTAAAAGACAAATATCAAGTTCCGAGATAGCAGTCATGAGCTCTTAATATCAGAGATATTTCAACTTTAATTTAACTTCTGTTACCAACTTCTACCAAACTTGATACAAAGAACAACAATATGATATAAAAGTACATAATGAAACTTAATGAAAATATTAAATTCCAAGAAAACAGTCACTGGCTCTAAATACCAGAGATATGTCAACTTCTAGTTAACTTCCATAGCCGAGATTCTACCAAATTTAGTTTAAACAATATTTTATTTCATGATTTGCACACTACATTACAATACAGTACAGATACAACGCGGATCGGAAAACAAGCTGTAAGCTTATATTAATTCCTCTCCTCTAGTTGTAGTACAGAGGCAGCAATTTACGTGGACATTTACACACATCATTGATGAGACGGACAAAACATCATTAAAATAATAGAACAAATACTACAGATATACATTATTTGGTTGATAGTAAATGACATTGACAGCGAGCTGTAACTTAGTAAGGAATGAAAAGAAAATTGATTGATAAAGATTCCTAAGGAGTCACATAGAAGTAGTTACCTCAGTGGTGTAAAGGAAAACTAATTTAGATATGCAATAGCCATTAAAATCTGCTGCTGTTGACGATAAAGTTCTGCATGGAAATGAATATTTCTGCATTTTTCCTATCATTTATATATTACAAAATTTGATGTTATACATGTGCATAATGAGCTTTAGATAAAATATCAAATCCAACCGGTAGCATTCAGGGACTTTTCAAGTTTTATTTAATTTCCACAAGGCTTAGTTTAATCAAACTTTATGCAAAGTTGACATAAATTCATAAAAAGTTTTTTCAAATAACCTCTCGGAGCACTGATAAATAATAGGAGAATTGTTGAGTGATGCAGACTCTTTAAGCATCTTATTTATTTGACATAAAATGAAATTTGATTAACAATCAGACGAACAAACTAAACGTAATACATGTATATTCAAATAATAATTAAATATTTGTTGTTTCTGTCAACAATTTTTGTATGGACATTTATCCAATGACATCATCAAAAAAAATCGGACTCAAATAAAACCATTTACTCTTATTCTCCAAACGACAATTACTAGATCCTGCAATACCATATACTTCTCTATTCTCCCTATTTAGGAAGGAGTCGTCCATTTTTGGATCCTAAAATTGAGCATTTTCAACCAGCGAATTTGCTAAACTATTCCTATTTTCTAAGATCTGATGATTTCATCTAATAGATGATAGATAGGTCTACAAACACACATTTTATTTATGCTTTTAACTCTAAACATGTGTAATCTCCCCCATTAAAATTTTCAAAAAATTGCCAAGTATGTAATACTGCATCATGAAACATGTTCAAATGTCCTTTTGCTAATTGGTATGTGTGATTTCTTTAAAAAAAACTTGTCACAGCTATTGGAAAACACACATATATACTAATAAAACTCAGACAGGTGATATGAAATATAATCATAAAACTCAAACAGGTGATATGAAATATAATCATAAAACTCAGACAGGTGATATGAACCTGTATCACCAGACTACAGATATAAATGGGCAATTATGCTTTGTGCAGGAAGGATTTAATCAAGTACATTTTTGTAAGTATCTTTGAAGTCTTATGTACATAAGAGATGATGTCTTACGACTAGTTAGAGTATTCTGATAGAGGAGAAAGTAAATAATGGGAGAAAACAAACATTGACTAGGACATAGAAACAGGATATACTAACAATACACGATTTATTAATTAAAACTGGAAATAAATATAACACATTATCAACACTCATGGACAAATCGAACGAAAAGTCGGAAGAAAAAAAACCCATAGAACTGAAATAGAGGAACACCAGAGGAAATGAATATGATGGACATATAAAAGTACATGTTATTTAGTAGAATTGTTCAGAACACAGACAAAAAGTTACAGTGGAAATGTCACTGATATGAGCAGCATAGTTAACTTGGAGACTGAAAACCAGAAAAAAATGTCCATGTCAAAAATAGTCACAGAATGATTCATTGAACAAAATACTGTTTTATCAGTCTGGAAAATCTTAATTCTAGCTGAAATATTTTAAATTTACTGCAATATAATGTCTAGGCTATGATGAGGTTTTAGTCTCTTTAAATACACAACAACAGTGTAAAATGAAAACAAAGGATTGAGAAGAAACACATAAATTGTTGATGAAGACACCTGTCGGGTAAGGAGATGTGGATGTTTCATTATGATACAGACATATTGACCACAAAATTACTGACACTGTGATATATGCAGACAGAAAAAACACACCAAAGGATCATAATTGCTGATTATATATACCTGTTCTTGCTCGTTTTAGGAATTTAAATCCTTGTGAATCTGTTGACAGATCTACATGTAAGGCTTTATCATAAAAAATATATATAATATGATTCAATCATCAACGGGGTACCATATTTCTTGTGTCCTCAACCAGGGCACTTAGGCATTCTACACAGCTGTATCATTGGGTACTGTGACACTAGGAAGTATTCTTGTGAAAGACAGGCATCCTTTCATATATCCTTATGAACATAATGATACAGAAACTTGATTGACTATAAAGGCTCAGAACATGATATGTTACTAGCTTCAAAAATGTACAATAATCGAAAATTACATTTTTAATTACCAAATGTATCCAGCAATATCCCTTTGATTGCTTTTTAACCCACACATATCTATTTCAGTATAATTGACAATTAAGATATTCATTATTCTGATATAAGCCCACCTCCCACTTAGGAGTTAGAAGTTATGTGTTAGCCCTCTGTGCTTATTGCAGGATAAATATGATAAACTCATGTTTGAAGAAACACAATTTCTCTTTTTCGCACACCTAACAAAGTACTAGAAAGAGAGATTTAAAGCTTATGAGTCTGTAACTCAAAGAATAGGCAAATAATAGGAAACTTAACATAAGTTCCTGATGATGTTGACTTGTCAAAAGAGAAAAGGAACACCGCGGTGCAAACATATAATTAGAACTTGAACAGACAAAAAAATGTAAGGAAGAACATCATCAACTCAGGAAAAAAAATGAGTCTGAATCTGTTTTCCCAGAAGGATAAGTGTTTCCTAACCACAGGTGGTGCGCACCATGATGTCTGTGCATTTGATCTTTTGAAGGAAGTATAAGGTCAGAAATGGTCTAAGACATAGTAAACAAGTCCCTAATTACAGTAGATATTGGAAATCAGGGGTCATATCCATGAAACCATTCTTATGCTCAAATTTGATTCTGTGCTCAATGCAAATTTTCAAATTCCGGTGATAAGTTAATAAAAATTTGTTGATGTTAATGAGTTGTAAGACGTTTGGAGACTTAAAGTTGTTTTCATATGTTAAAACACTCTAGTTCTTAAAAGTGTCAAATGATGAAGTGAATCACTAGAATACTGGTTTGAGCACCAAGTTCATGCTTGAGCATGAGTACGGTTTCATGAATATTGATTGGTTCATGTCATTAGAGTTGATATTGATTCATGCTACAAAGTATCGTTGATTGCCTGTGTTTCTGAGCTTTAGCTAGCATATTTAACCTGTATATTAACACTGAAAACTAATTAGCAGTTTGATTGCTTCTTTAACACTAATTTAAATTCATAATCTTTATTATAAGAAATATTTAAGGTCTTTTGTCGAAAAAAAAGTATGTAAAAATTAATGCGAAATTCGAATATCTCCTATAAGGTGTGTGTCCCATTGTAGAACCCCCAGAGTCACCTACAGCACTGAGAGTCAAGGATGTAACCAAGAACTCGCTGACCTTGAGCTGGGACGCTCCGTATGACAAAGAGGGAATCACAGGTTACACTTTGGAGCGCCGCCACATTGACGACGATAACTGGGAGCGCGTGACACGCCTGCCAGGTCAGGTGACTAGCCACCACATCGGCGATCTTCCTGACGGAGAATCGTTCTACTTCCGTGTGTCTGCCGAGAACGCGGCAGGCAGCAGCAAACCCGCTGAACTGAAAACACCGGTAGAACTGAAGGGCAGGAAAGGTTGGTATGACTTAGGGATAGCTTGTAGTGGTCAGCATGGGTATGCAGTCAAGCATGAAATTTTAAACTTTATTCTTCAAAAGAAATTGAATAGACAATTTTTTTTTATTGAAAATGGTGCATGGGCCTATATGGTTTACAGATTTGTGACAGTATGAAAATAGATAGACAAAATATCTTTTAGATCATCAATAATATTTAATGATATTTTTGTACTTCTTTTGACCAGTGTTGAACATTTTTACATAAATTTTAAGAGTTACGGAAAAAATAATAACTAGACATGATGTTATAGGGGAAATATGTACCAATATTTAGTTGTCGGAATGTTGATAAGGATAAGGTTGATTTGAGGAATGAATTGGGTGGTGTCAATGTTCTCATCAATACTGGTGCCCCGTCCTCCTGTAGTGTACTGGTTCTTCAGATTCTTCTTCTAATAGCATCTTGTTTGGGCTATAACTTTTGAATGATAAAGATGTCTTGATAAAACTTGAAATGTACCTACATCACAGGCTGAAGGTGGGCATTGCATTTTAACTCATTCACCCCTGAAATTTCATAATAGACTATTCTAACCTTTGAATTGGAAGAGTTGAAATGTGTCTTCAGGGGGTGTTAATTAGGCCACTGTGGCCTTTACCTCTAGGTCAAAGGTAATAAGGGGAGACAATTATGTTTTGTTCACGTTTATTCTACTGCATGCTTGTGAATGAATATTGTGTAATTAGCACCAGAAGGTTTTTTTTGCCATTGTCTGAGCTGTTTTGTTAAACGTGAGTCAAACATTTAAACGTTGCTGTCAATTTTGTACTTTATTCCAGCATGATTTTATGTGCAATGCATTAACCTGTACAAGTTTGTGCAGTGATGGATCGGGAAAAAAAAAGAGAAAGTGGAGATGGGAAGGGGTCAGTTCTAGATGAATCAGAAGGTTTTCTAAATCAGATAATTTTGTAATTGATTGTAGAATAAAAATGATAAAAAAATGATTAAACTTTGGTTGTTTTGAAGTCTACTGAATCCAATACTGTACCATATGCAAATCATTGTGGCTTGATTTTTTCATTTTTTTTCTTCTGTTTCAGATATATATTTTGTGTTTTTATTCTTCAGAGTATTTACTCTGTGTTTCAAATTTTTGTGACTGATGTTAATGCCTCTCAGTAGCGTGTTTTTTTGTTTTTAAATTTTTGTATACTGCATGTTTTCTGTTCATTTACAGTTGAAGTAAGTATGTAAACTATTGTGTATAATTGTCATTTGTCAAAAGTGCATGAGTAAGCATGAACTGTGTGCCGTGTTTTGTTTATTTGATATTTTTTTCCATTTCAGTAGATCAACGAAAAATTGTGTATTTTAGTGGGTTTTTTAAAAAAAGATATCAAGGATAAATTTATATTTAATGTAATAAGAATTAATCTTTTCAAATCTTGATATCAAATAGTAACATGAATAACATAATATATAACCTACAGTCAAAAATCAATTTATTTTATCAAAAATAGGAATTAGTGGGAAAAAAGTTAAATAGGTGATAGTACATATGTATATGTGTCAGATAATAAATGAAACTTCAACCGTAAACTTAAGCAATTTCATTTTTTAAATTATTGTATTTGAGCATTGTAATTTTCTTAAAAGACTGTTTAAGTACATTCTTTACACTGTTTTACCAGAAAAACCCTCAGCTATCTTGAATGCCCCAGAAGTGATTGAAATTGGACCTAAATATGTCGAGTTGTCTTGGCAACCTCCCGAATCAGACGGAGGCTCGCCTCTTACCGGCTACTTCCTGGAAAGGATTGACATCTCCGGCTTCTCCTGGTTACCAGTCAACAAACAGGCGATCCTGGACACGCATTATCGTGTGGAGAATCTTTACGAAGAACTGCAGTATCAATTCCGTGTGCGTGCAGCCAACAAGGAGGGTCCCGGGGAGCCATCCCCGGCCACAGACCCGTTCTACTGCCGCGAGTCCTTCAGTACGTACTCAATAAAACAGTGTCTAATACTTCATACAGGGATTCCATCTTTTCGTATTGCAGAGTGATCTGCTCGTGTGAGCAGGGATTGATTGTTATGTCATTTGTTTGTGAGAGCAACGTCATAATTTTTTGAGAAAAAGACGTAATTTTCTCACACAAACTAATGACGAACAATCAATACCTGCTCACAAGAGCAGATAACTCTGCAATACGAAAAGACGGAACATTTCTCTTGGAAGCTTTACTTCTAAATGCAAGCTGCTATGCTCCAGAAATATGAATTGCAATGATTTTCCTTAAATTTTGTATAAATAGGATATTGTTGTTTTGACTACTTTTTTTCTGGACTTTTACTTGTTTAATGTCTATTTTGACATTACAACAGAATATGAATTTATGATCTTTTAATTTTATGAGGTAAAAGTCCATATGTTTCAGTTCAAAAAATTGATTGAATCGTAATCTCTTTTTGCCTTTTGCTTTGCTGAAGCCTCTGTATGCTTAAGAAAATTATTTGAATTAAGATTTTCCATTGGAAGACAATTCAGAAGTAAAGGAATTTTTTCTTCACATTTTTCCTTAAATCTGTGATGGTTCCCCACAAAAAACCTTTTGTTAAAGAACTTTTGCAAAATCGGGACCTGATACCAGTAGTATTGAGAGATATGAGCTGACTTTGCCAATTTCTTTCATCCTGTAGAACTAGAGGCCCCGAAGTTCTCCAAGGAGATAGAGGACACCAGTGTCCTGGAAGGTCACGAGGCCAAGTTTACCTGTGAGGTCACAGGTCTGCCACGCCCAGAGATCACCTGGTACAAGAACTTCCGTGAGGTGTTTGGAGGTCGTCACTACAAGATCTCGAGCGACGGAAATGTCCAAATGATGGTTGTAAAGGATCTGGAGGAAGGAGAAACATCGTACATCGAGTGTCACGCCAAAAATAGATGTGGATCAGCGACTACTCGTGCCAAACTTGACGTGCTGGGTAGGTCACGCCATTGTCTTACTTTTGCAATGTCATTCTGATAATTCAATTTTAATTGAAAAAAGGCATACCTGCTATGTTGATCAATTACAGATTATTTTATTCTGTCATCTAAGGAAACGTCTGGACCAACTTTCTCAATCTCAAAATTGCAAATACAAATGTACCTGTAATAGATTTAAGATATCATTTGTACATGATGGAGTACAAACATATAATAAAATTTGAATTGGATCGCAGTAATACAAAATGTACAAAAGTAAATATGGAAATATTGCTTGCCTCCCCAAATGACATTTAATACATTATGCAAAAGAAAATATCTTTTCAAAAGCTCACTTGAGCTTTGTCGATGAGCCATTAAAAAATACAGAAACAAAACAAAACTAGTTTCTTTTTTGTGGTCCCTTTGTTTTAGGCATCCTAAGGTTCTGATTTAAGTATTAATACTGACCAATGTTCTGTTTGTGAATGTCCAGTCCCTGCCAAGATAATTGACCTACCTGACCGCTACCTGGACGGCCTGAGTATCTGTAAGGGAGACACCATTATGTTACGTGTCCAGTTCCGTGGCAAACCCAACCCTGAAGTCACATGGTCGGTTGACAAGGAGACGATCGAGGCCGGACGTGGTACAGATATCACGACAACACCACGACACACATCACTGATGATCTACGATTCAGACAGAAGTGACGGCGGTATTTACACAGTCACCGTCAAAAACAAGCATGGCAGTGACACAGCCAATATACCAATCAAGATCATTGGTAAGTTTGAAATGGATTTGAAGTTCACTCAGATTTGTCTTTAAAGACTTTTCCTTTTAAATCACTTCCAAGTCTATCAAGCTTCAGGAATTAGTGTGTGAATGTCGGGAGGGGGGGGCTTATTACTGGTAACATATAGTAATTACACCTGCAATGCAAGTAATAGATATTTTCAAAATTATCAAAACTCGAAGCAAAATATACTTATTCCAGGATTCAGGTACTTTTAAATTTAATGCTGTGCATAAGTTAGTGTGTCAGAAATAGCAAGTAAAATAAGATGATATAAAATAAGAAGGTTTTTAATAAACAAATTAGTCTAGAATATTGTTAACATGTAAACATATAGATCCTTTTGTTTTTAGATTATAACGTTAAGAGGATGAATTTGATACAGTTGAAAAACGTTATGTATCTACTTTGCAGTTACAGTAAAATGCATTAAATGCAGAAAAATTATTCAACATTGATAGATTTTGTAAAGGACTAGAATCTGAAAAACTTATTTACTGTATTTTTTAATCGAGTTATTTCCTCACATATCATGAAAGTAATGAGGTGTATTTTATCTTTTTATAGATCGTCCTCAACCACCGAGTGGTAAACCAACAATCATATCCTTCAACAAATTCTCCGTGAAACTTGCCTGGAATGAACCGGAAGACGACGGAGGTTCTCCGGTCACTGGATACATCATCGAAAAATGTGATCTTCAGACTGGTGTCTGGCGTCGTGCATTGACATCAAAACACCCACAATGCACTGTGGAGTGTCTGGAGGTACACAAGGAATACAAGTTCCGTATCCTGTCCGAGAACTTCATCGGTATCAGTCAGCCAGGCGAGGAGTCGGATATCGTGGTCACTCGTGACCAGGCTCCGGAGCTCGACTACGATGTGCTGTGTAGGTGTATTTCTGTTTTATTTTGCACAGAAGACAGCAATCAGAACCCCCAGGATTCCAACGGTTTAAAACTTTTACATTGTACCTGTAATGAAATGTTCTCCCACAATAATGTTCGTTCCACTAAACAAAAGGAAAAAACTGCACTTGAAAATATTTTCCTGAATTAAGTAAAAGAAGAATTACTTCCACTTCAATATTTTGAAAATTAGTTCAGTAGACAAATGGAAAGGAGTGATTCAAACTAGACCCATATCTTTTACGGGTAAATTATATGTCAAGTGCCGATATAAACATTTTTACTTGAAATTCCGTCCTGATTCCGCCCTGTTTTGTTTACAGTTGATTCAAACTTCAGAGGTACCAACGTGAATGTCGACAAAATGAAGGGCGACGTCCTTGGTAAATACATCATCTGTGAGGAATTAGGACGGTACGTATCCCTAGAGTGTTTCATTTTCGGTGATTTAACATTTTTTCTTTTCTTAGTTTATCAGTTGTATTTGATATTTTATACTTTATTGGTGTATTTGAAAAGAAAAGCTCACAAAGAAAACAAAAAAATTGACAGAAAGGTTCCCAGAGCTGAACCACTGTGCATTTAATATCATAAACTCAAAGTTGAGGTCTATAAAGATTTTTTTCGTTCTTAACAATAGTCTTTATAAAACACTAAACAGATTTTCGAAGAATAGAAGTTCTTGTCTTTTCGAGCAGTCCAAGATTATAATACAAAGTGTTGAAGTGTAAATTTCAAATTAACTTTTAGAATTTGTAAATATGCAACAAAATGTAATTTAAACATGAACAAGACACTAAAGCATTGACTTTGAGACAAATTTTACAATTTTAAGTACAATGTGCCCTGCTTACAGAGGTGCATTTGGCGTGGTTCACCGAGCCATAGAGAGGGCCACCGATAAGAACTGGGCAGCCAAGTTTATCCGGTGCCGCCCCCAGGAGAAGGAGCTGGTGCGACACGAGATTGAGATCATGAACCAGTTGCACCATCCCAAGCTGATGCAGCTTCACGAGGCCTTCGACCAGACTGGCGAAATGGTCATGATCCTAGAGCTGTAAGTCTGCTGTCACCCTGTCACCCTGTCACCCTGTCACCCTCCTGTCACCCTGTCACCCTGTCAGCTTGCTCACTGTATCCAGTCAAAGTAAAATGCTCTGTATAGTGAAGATCTTTTTCTAAATCTAAATTCCAGAGGGAGAAAAAATTGCTTTGTAAATTGAAAGGTTACTTGGGAAAAACAATTGTATGTCAAGTTATAGCTGTGACCTACTTCTGTTTGCCAATTTATAGCTGTGACCTACTTCTGTTTGCCAATTTATAGCCGTGACCTACTTCTGTTTGCCAATTTATAGCTGTGACCTACTTATGTTTGCCAATTTATAGCTGTGACCTACTTATATTTGTTGAGTTATAGCTGTGACCTACCTCTGTTTGCCAATTTATAGCTGTGACTTACTTTTGTTTGGCCAGGTTGTCGGGCGGTGAATTGTTTGACCGCCTTGTCACCCAGGACTACGAGTTTACTGAAGAGGACTGTATCGTGTATATGAGACAGATCTGCCAGGGCGTGAGACACATGCACCAACAGAACATCATCCATCTTGACCTCAAGGTCAGTAAATACCAAATACTAAAATAAAGTTTCGGAGAGTACGAAATGGAGATGTATATATCTGCTGTTATTCTAGATACCGTACATAACCACTTACCACAGATAGGAAATAATTTGTTTAAATGTTTGACAGCATGAGATCACGTTGGTTTGGTTTGGTTTAGTATTGTTTAACGTCCTATCAACAGCTATGTTCATGAATAATTCTCTGTAGAATTGATACCAGTGAAGATGAGATATATCAGATTTTAATAGAGTTTCTCGGCAAATACATCATAACCATTTCCATTTTATAAAGTTTACACGATATGAAAAAACCTATAGCAGTGTCTATGATATGGACTGTAAACTTACTTATTTTAGTGCAACCAAATTTTAACAAATTAATTTGGCATATCCACAAAATATTCTGTAGATAACAACATACAGAAACTTTAATTGGTGCAGTCATAATTAAGCGCAATAGGGAAAGCGTGAAATGTGCTAAAATTAGACTAATGCTAAAAATGTACATTTACAGCATATAGAAAAAATGTAGATGAAAAAAATTAGAACATGGATGAGATGTTGTTTGTTGGTTTCAGCCCGAGAATGTGATGTGTGTTACCAAGGATACTCGTGACATCAAACTCATTGACTTCGGACTTGCTCAGAAATTGGAAGAGGGCAAATCTGTCAAGGTCTTGTTTGGCACAGCAGAGTTCTGTGCCCCTGAAATCATCAGCTTTGAACCAGTGTCCTTCTGTAGTGACATGTGGTCAATCGGAGTCGTCTCCTACGTCCTGTAAGTACTCATGAAACAAGGCGTCTGATTGGCCGATCATTTGAAAATACTCTTGTAAGGAAGTTTCTTATTGGCTTAATATGACAAGTGGTCAATGCAAGTACTGATGTAACAAGGTAGCTGATTGGGTCATTACTTGAAAGTTATTTTGTTACAAGGCATCTTATTGGCTGGATATGACAAGTGATCAATGCAAATACTATTTATGCTTTGTGTTTTAGATAGTGTAATTGAAATAAAATTGAAATATTTACTTTCATGATTTCTAATAATAAAGTGTAATTAAGATAAAATTGATTAATTTATTTTCATGATTTGTACTGATAAAATATAATTAAGATGAAATGGATTTATTTTCAAGATTGCAACTGATAAAGTATGTTTTAGATAAAAATGATTTATTTATTTTCATGATTTCTACTGATAAATCAAGTAACAAATATATTTTTTCTATTACACTAACAGACTGAGTGGGTATTCCCCCTTTGCTGGAGACACTGACCAGGAAACATTTACTAATATCAACCACTCAGATTATGACTTCAGTGATGATGTCTGGGATAACATCTCTGACGATGCTCGCGACTTCATCAACAAACTTCTAGCCAGAGACAGAAGGTACGGGCCAATAACTGTTATACACTACTTAAGATGGTTTCGGATTAAAAATAAATTAGTTGTAAAACAGTGTTATTGAACGAAAAGAAATCTTGTTATTCCATCCCATAGCTTTGTTATATTGCCACTATTTGTCTATAAAAATGATGGCATTATAAAGAGGTTTAGCAATAAATTGCGGGAAAGGTGTAAAGGAATTCTGAAGAAAAACAGAAAAAGGACCTTAAATATATGTTGGCGGTAAGCAAGGTGGCATACCAAACAGGGGTATTATAACAAGGTTTTACTGTATACACTGATAGTTAATATTTCTTATGCTTTCCTTTAATTTATTGATTCAGATAAAAGAAAACAAAAGATATTCATTGATATTCCTCTGAAGATGTCAAGGATGAATGTGATTCGCTATTTTTCCAAATTTCGTTTGTTTTTCAATTTCTCTTTTTTCTTTTTTTCCAGCAAAAGAATGACAATAGATGAAGCCCTAGCCCACCCCTGGCTAAACGTAAGTCGACAGGAACGTAGAATGATACAAATCTATTACTTAACATATATATGAACATTGTATATCATTTATGAATAGCAAGGCAATACGGGCAGATCTTTCATCGGCATGCAAATTAATTATACCATAAACAAAAAATGTCATTCATCATCATCATTCATGCATGACATTGCATACCGTAATTTTTGCCTGTTTCATCGTTTTATCCGCGTATTCCTTTCCAGAAAAAACATCCCTTTATCTTTCCTTCCAAAACATTTACCTGAATTTACCCAAGTTTAATGTAATGAGAAAAAGAAAACCGTTTGTCATTGGTTTCCAAAACTTTGGGAAACATGAGTAGTGGACTTCCTAATTTTTGTATTTCTGTTCCAAAATCAACCTGCCCCATTTGTACAAATGTATTTGCATCCGATAGGTATTAGTTTGTCCTCCCAACAAGCTCTTAATGTATTTGTATATCAGATGTATATATTTTATCTGTATTTATTTGTTTACATATACTGTATCTACTGAAATACTCTCATGACAATGATTTTATTCGTAATTAATCATTAATTATAATTGATAAATCATTATTTTCTGTTGTCTTTAACACAATCGTATTTTGATTCCAGAATTCTTTTTTAATGTGTAAGCTAAAAAAATGAAAACCGTCATATCTACTGACACTGCACCAGGATAACATCTAAATCAATGAACAGAAAACAAATTTAAATATCTCAATGCAATAAATATCAAACATCTTTTCATGTAGAATAATAATTCAAACTCAATGCACCTGTCTTGATTTTTTGTCCATGTTTTTGTGGTAGTTTCCTAGGTGACAACTTCCTGTAGTTGAATGTCGATATCTGGTGTATATCTGTTTTGCTTTTGATTTGAGCCACTCTATATTCTGTTCTGTTGTCATGGCAATCGTTTTAATGCTTTGGTTTCCCGCGGCTTTTGCTTTTTAGCCAAGAGCGGAGGATTCGTCGCCACCTAAGCCATTAGTCAGAGCTGTAAGTATGGGCTGTGTTTGTGTGTGTAATCCCTGTACTTCCTTGGAAAAAGATGGAACATTGAAGAATGACCTTGACCTTTGACCTTTGATTTTAATGTAAACAGTTGACCTTGGCTTTAGATATTGGCATTTGACATAATTTACTTCATACTATTATCAAAAAAACAATGTTACTGTTGAATTTCACAGTAAATGTGAAAAATTAAGATTCTAAATCTGAACCAGATCAAGATAAGTTTTTAATTAATTAAGTTTGCATTGGATGCAAGATGTTTTCAAATACAAAGCTGCTCACTAGAGGTAATGTTTTAGAATATTCAATAATCAACTGACTTTGACAGATCATTTACTTTTTTTTTTAATTTTCGACAGTTTGTCTTGTCCAAATAACCATCCAGACATTTAATAAGTCCATAGAGGTTACAACCTTGACCTTCTTCTAAATGACTTTGACCTTTGTCTCATCTCTATTCAATATGCACCTCATCAAAAATCATTAGATTCATTGTAAACGTGATCATTGAGAAACATACTCACATTTTGCTTTTGATTTCAATTTCAACTTTTGTGACCTTGCTGGGTGTTGTATTGTCCTGGCTTTGGTTTCTTGAAAAGGTCTTAAGGATCCCTGCCCAACTGTTCTGTAGATTTTCTTATACACAGTAATCACCCCTTAACTTCCTTGAGGATCCCTGTCCCACTACTCTAGATTTTCTTATACACAGTAATCTCCCCTTAACTTCCTTAAGGATCCCTGTCCCACTACTCTGTAGATTTTCCTATACACAGTAATATCCCCTTTACTTTCTTAAGGATCCCTGTCCCACTACTCTGTAGATTTTCCTATACACAGTAATATCCCCTTTACTTTCTTAAGGATCCCTGTCCCACTACTCTGTAGATTTTTTTATACACAGTAATCTCCCCATAACTTCCTTAAGGATCCCTGTCCCACTACTCTGTAGATTTTCCTATACACAGTAATCGCCCCTTAACTTCCTTAAGGATCCCTGTCCCACTGCTCAGTGATTTTTCCTACATGCAGTTACCTCCCCTTAACTCCTGTTTAGATATAACTGTAGAACAATTGGTCCAGGACACTTCTGTCAACCAGGTAGCTCAATCGATTAGACTTCAGCAGTCTGAAGTTCAGGGTTCAAATCGGGTCAAGTTCCAAGATATGTTTTTGATACACAGAATACTGTTATTGAATACATTTTGTTTATTTCATCTTGATTATTTCTTATAAAAGATCTGCAAGGTATTATTTTCTTTTCAGAAATAACTTATCAAAGCTATAGTCATGTCGGGAAAATTTATTTCCAAAACATAGTTACAGTTTCTAGGCAGTGGTACTGGGATCCTTAAAGCAACATATTTACTTTGAATGTTGACAAATTAAGTCAAAATGTTGATAACATATGTCAAGTTTTTAAATTGAATTACAAGCTGAGTTATGTCCCCTGTCCAGCTTTTATTAGTTTTTGTATTTTCTAGGCTCTTGATAAAGTAGTCCCTTGAACAATTATTTGATTATTTGTCCTATATTCAAATGAGTTATGTCCCCTCTGCAATAAAGTAATATTCCTGAGCACCATGGTGAGTTATGTCTTGCACAACAATAAATAAGTTATTTATCTTGTCAAATTAAGTTCTGTCCCCTGATAGATTGATATCCCCAGTAAAAAAACATCTTCTGAATAATTGTTGATAACGTATGTCCCTTGTACAATTGAGTGAAGTCCATTTTACAGCTGAGTTATGTCCCCTGTACAATAACGTCTTCTGAATAATGATTGATGAGTTATGTCCCTTGTTCAATTGAATTAAATCCATTGTACAACAGAGTTATGTCCCCTGTAGAGCTGTTTGGTACCTGGTTTTCCCTACACATGGGTTTTGTATTTACAGGGAGCCACAGAGAAGAAACTGACAGGCACCAAGCTATCCACTCAACATCACAAGGACTACCTACAGAGGAAACGCCACCGTGAGGATGAACTAGACATCCTTCCGATTGGCCGGATATCCCGCGACAGCGCCATCTTCAGACGGGAAGGTGAACAAGGTGTCATCGCCAAAAACATCATCATGGGTACGTTTACTTATGATACTTTCCTAGGAAGATCTGTTTAATATATTCTGCGGTGTTAGGCCATTGTAATGCATGTTTATTTTTTTTATAAATTTTTAATATTTAAACAACACTTTTTCCATATTTTTGTTGTTTTCATAAAAATGTCAGACATTGTACAAATTTTATGTTAGAAATCTCTTGTTATGCCTTTAAATATCTTCTAGACAATGACCTTGTAATTTTTTTTTGACAGAGTTACCTCCCCATGCACCTGTGTTCTGCGAGCCTCTCACAGATGTGTCTGGCTTTGAAGGGTCCAGGATAGAGATGACCTGTAAGATCAGTGCCAAACCTGCTCCAAGGATCAAGTGGTGAGTTCCCCATTCCATATGATATACTGTATACGTTAATTTTGCTGGGTCAAACAAATGATATCAGTCATTCTTCTGAGGCAACCATTCAACATGTCCTCATACAAAAACTGAAATATTTACTTTCACATTGTTACTGATGTTAATTTTTGAGCTACTAACTTGAGTACTTGTGAAGAAAAAAATATCCTTAATATGAAATAGTATTAATTTGTATTCAAACTATTGTTTGTCATACATGGAAGAAGATATATTGTAATCAGGTATCAGAACTACAGGCTCAGACATTTTCTTTGATGCTATGTATAGTATGTATTATGTTGCCTCCATCAACATTGAGTTTGTAATCACCTAGGGGACATTACTCTTGGAAGTCCAACAAAGTTATAGGTCAGATGTGCGAGTCCTTGAGTGACCTTGAATATGTGACCTTTTGTATGTAGTGTCACATCACAAATTGTATTGTTGGTAGTTGCCGCGGAACTAAATATACAAAAGTTTTAATTTTGTAGTTTTTAATGTCATTGCAGTGCTTTGATTGTCAATATGGAACTTTTCAAACGGAACAAATGCTGAGATTTGTCCAAATCTTAATTGGCAGGTCAAATGGACCGATTGTCTCAGGATATAAATACATTATTTTGATACAATGCAGTTATATATTTGTTGGCTAAGAATTCTTCCTTTCTCAAATCTAAAACAGACCTATCGTACAAATTGGATATATTGGGGTCTGTTCATTGTCTGTAACCACTAACAAGGCAGTAGTCAGTATGTTCAAAAACTGTCCCTCTCAACATTCAACCTTCCTTCCCTAGTTTTCTGTAATAAAATCTTCTGTTTTCTGATTGGGGCCAGTCAATTATTCTCCAAAGGGTTCAAACAGCAAATATGTATGAATCTTCTACAGAAGGGTTAAGGTCATTTTGTGTCTGTAAATTAGTTTTACATGTGTTGGCTTTACTTAATCAGTTTTAAATTTGAGATTTCATGCAGAAAAGATATTCTATGTTTGTTTTAGCTACACCTGTCTGGGTTGGAAAATTGACATATTTGCTTTCGATTATTATGTTTGAAAAATGAAATAAGAGGTCCAAAACCACATGCCTGATATAATTCTGTCTATGTACATGTTATACATAATTAGAAATTTCAACAAAATATTACTTCACAATAAATATTCATAAAATTGTATTGAAATGTATTAAGGACTATGCATTATTTTGATGGTATGAATTTCAAGTAAAGAAATTCATTGTTTTGCATTCTGCAATCTAGTACCTATAGTTTTGGGACGGTATAGGGGATGATGTAATAGGTTTAATCATTTCCTGATCTTCATCCAATCTCTCCCCCCCCCCCCCCCCCCCCCCCCCCCAAACCAATCCCTGTCTGTCTGGTATTTTAAGTACCTGTTATACACTACACTGCTTCAGACTACACCTTGTGTAGATTTCTGGATAATAAACACCCCTAAGGTACCCCACATGTCTGAAATATATACCTGGTTTTGTTTATGATTGGCACCACCATGTGTGTATAAACAATTGAAGCTGGATTGGTTGCAGATTCTCAATGGGGCCACAGTTGGGGGAACTAGAATCAATAAAATACCCTAAAAAAAAGTCTTAGATCTAATTTAACTCAGCAATAAAACTATATGGATGGATTTCTGATAGTGTGATCCCTCAGGTACCTCTTATAAGGCGACTAAAGGCAATTAATTCACTACCTTCATAGTCAAATTTCCCCTTATGTACCCCATTTTAGACACATGTTAGTTGTTAAGATCACTTTCTTGCCTTAATTTCTTTTGTAGTTTTTATTTCCCTGCAATTTCCTCATACATAGATCTGCCCAGTTATTTTTCTTACATCCGCAATTTTAAAAAGTCGTTCTTTTATGAAGGGAGGAGAAAAGAAAATTTGTGGTCTATCGTTTACGATGGTATCATCGAGACTAGCATTGGTTTTGGAAATGATTATGTAACATGATCGACTTGAGATATGACAAACAGAATATATTTTTGGAACTTTCAAAGATTATCGAGATTGGGGGCCATTACACTTGGCATAAGATGTATCAAAGATAACACGGTTATTTGGAAATTAAGCCAGGTATTTGGCAAAGAGGCTTGGTTTTGTTTGCAGAAGTATTCTACTCTGTTTTTATCCCAGTTTGCACCAAGAAAAGGTTGCCATGTGCCTTAAAAGTTGAGAATTAATGGAAAATAATGTATTCTGTTTGAACCAGGATCGCTTGTCAGGCAAAAGATACTTCTACGTTTCTGAATCAGAATAGTTGTGTAGAAAAAAACTTTCTCTTACAAAATAAATGGACTAATTTCATGCTTTGAAAGTGATTTTAGCAATTTGTGGATGAAGTGTACTTGTAACGCTGAAGTGGGTTCTGATGGAATACGACTCAAGTTTCTTACCATCTGATTGGTTGTTGAATGGTGCAGTTCAGGTGGTACTTAGGAATTTCTCCATAATTGTTCCATTTATAACCGATCCCTGATACAGGTATGCTGGCCTGTGTGTATGGCTTCGATACAGGACAAGTGTTACTAGTTACTGTTTCCGAATGGATGGACCATGTAAAATAGATTAATTTCGTATTCCTTGGTGTAAATATTCATTTTGTGTTTTCCGAATGGAAAGGATTGTCGTGGATTCAATATGCTGTGTGTGTTAGTGTGTTCTTTATACTTGTAGAATGTTAAATGCTATACATTCCAAGCTGTTTGCCTAGTATATTCAGGGTTGAAACCTATTCAGCATTCCGGTGGTTAGAGTACGTGTGTAAAAGTGACATTTTGCTAGTTGTGTTTGATTTAAAGGGATGATATGGACTACTTCCAAGTACTTAATGTTTCTTGTGTTTGAAGAGTTTCTGCCTCATTAAAGTTTACTAAATAATCCTCCCGTGTTGTAATAGGATATAAAAAAAATATTTATTGCCATGGAAATTAGATTAGAATCTGACTACGTGAAGGAGTAGTGCTGAAGATTATATTGTATACGTATTGCTATGGCAACAGGTTCTATTCTCTGCCTATCCAAACATCTTGATGATTAAGACTTAAGTGTTGATTTGTTACTATGGCGACTGGTAGCCATGTTGTGTCCTGGGAGGAGGAAGAAGATGGAATGGCTCCAGACAACTTTTTAAATGGACAGGAACATTTTATACAACATAATTTTCAGAATTCCGGAAATGTGATAAATGACATGACCTTTGAACTTTCATGCCCTGATAGGTTCAAGGACGGAGAGGAACTACAGGATGGAAAGAAGTATCACATGACCTACAGTGATTACTACGCATCCCTCTTCATCAGTGACCTTGACCCTGAGGATGCTGGAAAATACAGATGTAAGGCATTCAATGACCTTGGTGAGGACTCGACGACCGGCAAACTGACGGTAGAGGAGATCCTTCACCGGAAGAAGAGGAAAGAAGAGCTTGAGTCACTCAGGGTCAAGTAAGTGCTTAAGTATATCATGTTTGCATATTTAGTCAGCAAGGGTTAATAATGTTTTTTTAGTCCTGTCATTTAGTGTGACTTGAGCCAGTTAAAATGAGTACCCGCTAGAGTCTGTTATAATAAGATAATTTGTTTAGTCTGTCTAGGTTAAATGACCTTTTGAGTCTATTAAGCTGGATAAGTGCTTGAGTCTATCAGTGTTGAATAAGTTCTTGAATCAGTCAGGTTGAGTAAGAGTTTAAGCCCTTTAAGACGAGCCTTCATATGACCCTAGCTGTTGTGAGGACATTAGGCCCTAGAAAAATAAACGACCGTTAAGACAAGTCAACCTTTTGAGTCTATCTATGCTAAATGAGTTCATCAGTGTTAGTTAGGCTCTTGAGTGTATCTTTGTTAAATAATTGCTTGTATCTATGAATGTTAAATGCGTGATTGATCCCATTAATATCTGATAGAAATCTGAATCTGAACCTATGACGGTTCAGTAAACCTTGATACTTTTATGATATGCAGTAATTTCACTAAGGATGCACTGAAGTGAAAACAGATTGTTCATGTCTGCACTTTGTCGTTAAACTGTATTATATTATATGTGTTATGTTTTTTCCAGGTACCCCAAACATGATTATGACTTGAGTTTACTTGACTCCAACATCCCACCGTCCTTCACCCTTCCACTCATCGACCAGGTGAAGCATGTCGGCGAGAACTGCGAGTTCACCGTCACAGGTCAGTGAATTTTGTAGCTATGGGAACTAGAAAACACAGAGTATAACAACAAGAAATAAACATCTATGTACTCATGTGTTTTACTGGTTATTTGTCAGGTGAAGGTGACAGAGAAATTATATAATTAACGATAAAATATGTTACACATAAATATTTCACTGGTTGGGCTTATACACTTCATAAAAACTCATTTTAGATTGGAATGCATTGCTAAGCGAAAAAAAATGTGTATGCTTCATATTTGACTTTATCTTCTGTGTTTGAAAAAGATAAATACATTACCTATTTATTTTTCAATGTGTTCAGCTGATAAGCATAACGCTAAGCAAATGAATTTGATTTTGCTTTTTGGATAATTTACGAAATATTGAAATTTATATCATTGTGACTTATTGTTACCATAGTGACATGCCGACCAGAACCAGAGGTCACCTGGTTCCATAACAACGAGGAGGTTCACGAATCTGAGGCGTTCGAGTTCGTCCACAGTAAGGGCGTGTACCGTCTTATCATTCATGGCGTGGAGACACTGGACGCTGGACAGTGGCGCTGTGAAGCGGTCAACAAATACGGACACAGTTGGTGCTCATGTGACCTGAAGGTCATAGGTAGGTGACTTTTGAATAACTTCTGTTTAACTCATTCATCCCAGAAGACACATTTGAACTCTTCTAATTCAAAGGTGGGACTAGTTCAGTATGAAATTTCTGGGGTGAATGAGTAAACTGATGTTTTTGCACACAGCTTCAGTCCTTTTTAAACAAATGACTCATGACACTTTTGAATGCTTAGCAGAATTTTTAAAACAATATTTATCGTTGAATTTCAGATGAGATGCCAGAAGGCGGTGAACCACCCGTGTTCATCAGGAAACTACAAGACACTACCATCGTTGAGGGCAGCTCTGTTCACCTGGAGTGTAAGGTCAAAGGTCAACCCAATCCAGAAATAGAATGGTGAGTATAAAGATCAATGATGAAGGCTAGCACAATATACCTTTAATGAAAGGGGAAAAGGGTCAGTTGTCAGCATCAAATATGATTTGAAGTGTCAGTTCATTATAATTTCATAGAGAAAGATACGATGTCATAATTATGAGATCAAATTCAAATAACTAATTGAAATGTTGCAAATATTCCATTTTACAAAAATAACTTTTTTCTGAGTTATCTCCCTTGATTGAACTAGAACTCACAATTCCTCTTACATGTTTCTAGGTACAAAGATCGTAAACTTATCCGGTCAGGTCGCCATTATGCCATCAGTAAAGAGGGCAGCACCTGTATCCTGACAATCCACGAAGCCTTCCCAGAGGACACCGGAAAATACATGTGCCGGGCAGTGAATACTGTCAGTTCCGCTACAACTGAAGCACAGCTCCGAGTGCAGAGTAAGTCTTGGGCTAGAGAAGTCAAATCCTAAACGGCATTCATCTATAACAAATGATTTTTTATGCCCCTGCCATAAAATGGGGGGAGGGGGGGCATATCGTGTTGCCTATGTCCATGAGCGGGGGCATTTATGTCTTACAGACATGTTCTAGTTTTGAGTATTTCACACACAAAAAGAAGTAACTTGGTTTTCAGAAGGAAATTTAATTGTTCATTTCTGCTACAATCCTTATAAAGAAAAGTTCAATAGAATTTTGTTGCTTTTAATTCTAATAAATTGAATCCTGCTTGAAGTAAGTTTGTTTTGTCCCATGAAAGTTTATCTGGGTGTGTCCCATGAAAGTTTTTCTCAGTGTACCAGGGTATTTGCTAATGAACTTCACCAATACTGGATACATTTCCATTCTGTGCTGTTTTTTGTACATATGAAAAAGAAAAAAAATAGATAAGCACGATATCAAATTGGCAGGTTCAGATTGGTAAATCTAAACTGGATCTACGTAAAATTAAATGGCTGCTTCAAGTGACCAGTATATTGTACCGTAACTTTATCAAGATCCTAAAACTAGGGACTGGACTGCTGAAGCCCAATGTTCGGGCGAAACCGGTAGTAAACACACTAATAAACACAAAAGATGTAACCTTTTAGATATGTCCTTACTCTCCAATCACCCTGCTTACCTTCTGGTATCCAAGCAAAGGACAGTGGGACAAACCTATCTGCCACTACTCACATCAACGTTGGCTCTACCCTAGGACTTTATCAATATCCTGATACAAACTCTTTGTCTTCATGAGGTTTCTACTGTACAATATTGAGTTTTGGAACAAAGAAAATTGTTGCCATATACTCAGTATTTGTAGTAATGATAATTTGAAATCAATGTTAAATATGAGTTATTTCCTCCATTGTAGAAGCAGAGGGCGAAGAGTCGGAGTTCCTCTTTGAACATTACGTACCAGACGAAGCACGACTTGTAGAAAGAACTGTTCACTTTAAGATTGAGACTGAGCCAAACTTTACTGCGACCCTGAAGGACAAATCGGCTACAGTTGGCACACACGTGAAAATGTTGTGTTCCATCACCGGAATCCCTGCCCCTCGGGTCATAATGTATCACAACGACGTCGACGTCACCAGGGACGACCACTACATGATTACGGTGAGGAAAGACCTCCTAATGCTACTGTACACCTCACCATTTTTCATCCAAAAAGTTTACACCTTCTGGTCTTTAAAAATGAATAGGTAAAACCTGTAGTACAGTTAGTTACAAAAAAAATGGCTTCAAAATAAGATTCAGATTATAGCATACCATTTTTAAAACAACAAGTAAAAGCAATTTGTCCAGTTTATTTTCAGAAGGACATAGTTAAAACTACATGTACAAAGATTAAATGTAACAATTTGAAGACAAAAAATCTGTAATTTTCCAGGTTTTTATAAAATCAGATTTAAAACCTCACTATCTAATAATTAAGACCAAAACGTACAAAAATTGCACAGACAAGTTGAAAAAAAATCAAATAAATTGTATTCTTAATAAATTTGAAACTGTAAAAACAATACTATTTACATACATTTGACAAGCTATGTTGTGTTTTAGAACAATCACGGGCTGGTCTCTCTGGAGTTTTACTCAGTCAAGCACAGCGACGCAGGGCGATACACATGCAAGGCGGTCAACAGCGAGGGAGAGGTCTCGTGTCAGGCAAGGCTCCAGGTCTTGGGTAAGTAAGAGTGACCTCCCTTTAAATGCATACTTTGATGTAGTACGATATTCTTAGTGTAAATATTTTCTTGTATCATGTTTTGGATATTGTGAAAAGAACTGTACATCAATATTAGGTTTCAATATTGATTATGACTCAGTTATTTAAAAAATAATGTTGCATGGTATATGTCGAGGTTCTTTACTCAATGATACTCAGTAATGTGTGTTGTTGTTTTTTATTGATATCAGCTTTTCGAAAAAGTTAACTTTAAGCAATAATATTTCCGATAAACATAGCCCATAATATTTGGTGGTACCTTTCATCAAATGTTCAGATTTGTGATGTTTTTTTATTTTATAGATGTAGAGGAGGAAGCTCCAAGGAGTCCGGATTATGTCCGGCCGAGCTTCACGACCCCCATCCATGACTTGACGGTGACAGCCGGAGACGAGGCCAATTTCTCCTGTGTGGCCATCGGCAAACCAATGCCAGGCTTCAAATGGTAAGTTCAATAATCTTAACAATCTAGTCCAGACACTTAATGGTAAATCTCAAAATATGTACCTATAGTTCAAACACTTACTGGTAAATCTCAAAATATGTACCTCTAGTTCAAACACTTAATGGTAAATCTCAAAATATGTACCTCTAGTTCAAACACTTAAGGGGAAATCTCAAAATCTATATCTCCTAATCTCGAAATTAAAGGGAAAATCTTACAATCTGTATCTTCTGATCTAGACTAGTAATGGTTAGCCTTAAGACTGTATCTTCTAATCCGACACTTCATGGTAAATTTCATAAATTGTATCTCCTAATTTGGAAACTAAAGGGTTAAACCTAAATCTAAAAATCTCAATCTCCTAGTTTATACACTTATCTAAAGATTCCAAATAAGATTTTTGAAAATTTAGATATTAAAGAATGTGATACAGGTTCATACATCACATATATTCTATAATTTGTCTTTGTAATGTTATACAATTTTAACTGTTTTATATCTTGTAGGCAAAAGGACATGGTAGACATTTCAGACTCGCATCGTATCTTTATGGGTGCGGACAGTGACGGGGCGGCGGAGCTGATCATCAGATCGGCACGGGTCAGCGACTCAGGACTATACAGCTGTGTAGCCCAGAGCTCCGCTGGACGTACCAAGTGCTCTGCCTACCTCAGAGTTCTAGGTAAGGGGAGGTCACTCGAATAAAATCTTCATTCAATCTGGTGGAGAAAATCCAGTGTTCATCTGTTTCTTTCTCAGAAATACACATCTTGTTAAAGTGTTGAAAAATCGTCATCTGTAATTATATTTATGTCGCGATAAAAGAATTACATTATTCTTTACATACTCAATGTGAATAAAGTCAGTGGACTGCAACTTTAATTAATGTGGTTCCTTTTAATAGAATATCTCAAAAGGCTTTGTTTTATTATCGAGCCTAATTAAATGAGAAATTTGTACATAATTTTTGACATAATTCTTTTTAAATTTCAGCCAAGTCCAAGTCAAGGTCACCACCTGGCTCCCCTGAAACTGAAGCTGCGAAGAAGTTGGAACAGCGCTACGAGCGTGCACGTATGGAGATACCAGGAGGACGTGCCCCAAGATTCACCGAACCACTGCCCAAGGTCGTGGAACTGGACGAAGGGGATAAGCTACGTTTGGAATGTGAAGTGGAAGGATACCCCAAACCTAAAGGTGATTACTGTCTCTCTTCCCTGGTAAAATTGACCACTTTCCTGGCCATTGCTGACCATGCTTGACCCTAGACTACAGCTGATCTTACTAAACACTATTTTGGTATTTGTCCTGAATTCAAAATTTGTGGAATTTTACTATAACAGGGTTTTATTTTCCATCGCTTTCATCTCATTTTGATACAAGGAACGTTTATCATTAAGGTTAAATGTAATTTTTATATCAATTGAAAAATGTTAGTGACTAGAATATAAATTTTCACTATACATGATACAAGAATTTTTCTTGACCTTTGTTTGTCCTTGACCTTCCAGTGACCTGGTACAAGGCCACCAGAAATCTGACCTATGACTACAGACATCGGGTCAAGGTCGAACAGATCATGCACACTCTTGAAGTCAATGACGTCACAGTCATCGACTCTGGAGAGTTCATCGCCAAGGCAACCAATGACCTCGGTGAAGCAGAAACGAGATGTATTGTCCGTGTGAACAGACGACGCACCGAAAAAGAAAGGTACATATGTTTCCTGTTCTTGGAATGTTATTCTTTTACATAGTACATAGTTATGTAACTGATAAATTCAACCATTTTCGTTGAACACTAATCAGAACAGTGTATACATTTGAAATCTAAACTCATTGAAGCTCTTTATCCCCTTAACCATACCTATGTACATGTACATCAGTTACAATTCGTTATAATTGTTTGTGATGTCTAGCTCCTGGTAATAGTCTAAATAGGTATATTTTGATGAAGAATGCAAAATTTACATGCACTCATGCATAAATGAAACACACATTTTCCTGACGAATCCAAAGATGGATATTGTTAGTTGTGGTGGGTTTTCAAAGGAGAAAATTGGAAAAAAAAAAGATTTTTGTAAGAAATTCCCAGCCTTGGTGGGGGATGATTTCTGGAGTCTACAAATTATTCCTTGACTTCATCACTGATTTAATTTTAGAATACACATTAATTACTGTTATTTAATTTGTCTGTTTCCAGGGAGGTAACTACAGAAGCAGCCCAGAGAGCCGCAGGTGAGTCGACCACAAATACACAGTCTAATGCCGTTTTGTGATTGAGTGTAACCATTCTGTTTTGATTGAATTGAATTTCTGCCATTTTGTGTGGAGTGATCTCCCCTGTCTTGGCACTCTTTGTTGTCATTTATGAAAGTTTGTGCAAACCAAAGCTTTAAATTGCTCATGAGACTTCCGCTAATATAATCATTCCAAGGATAATATTTGGACAACAATCTTGCATACATATTACCAAGAATTTAATTTGATTAACAATATTTGTTTATCAAAAAAATATATTTTATAATGGTTGTATGAATTAGGGTGTGCTACAAAATAATTATAACAATTAAATTTTTGTTTGATGAAACCAATTATATTCATCATAATTTTCAATCTAAGTTTGCAGTTTCCCAAATAATCCAATAAAATTCTAATGAATGTGGATTTTTTTTTAAAATAATTTTTAATTCTTTAACTTGTCTCTGAAGTGATCCCAATAACTGTCATTGACTAATGCAAGGTCATGACATATCATTCCCTTACCTGATGTTTGAGATGTAAAAGTTGATGTGTTTCCCGTTTACAGATGAATTACAACAAGGCTATGGTATATTTAATAATATTTAAATTAAATCACAAATGCCTTGAAAATTTAACATGTAGATATCTTATTTAATAGACTCGTCATAACACAATTATATTGTAACCAACACATTAACTCTGTAGCTAGAGGGATATAGTATTTGCTATCACACTTAGCCTAGATTATAAAGGTTACCATGGTTACTACATTATATAACTTTAAAATACAGAACACTATACTACATGTACTAAGATTTATGCATGCTGAGCAAATCATGTTATTAGTGCAGTATAATTAATTAACTATTGTATTTTACAGCATGTACTTTATATATAACATACCTGAAGTCAAAACACTAGCTCTCTCCCCTCCCCCCTCCAAGCAAGAAAATTGTTGATGATAAAAGATCGCATAATAAAACAGTTCTTTGATAGTACTTTTCAGTACATGTTTTGTATTTGACAGTATCTAGAGAGCTACTTGTTATCAATTATGGCAGAATTAACTTATTCTTGACATATGTACAAGTAAATTCAAAAAGAATTTTCCATTTAGGGCCTGTACTTGTAAAATAATGGTTTATCTCAGATAATTTCATGCTCGAATGTCATTTGGGGTATGCTTATGGAATATTTCATTTTTGGCTGTGAACCATTATATTTTACAGTTCGAAATCTTGGTAGGCCTAAATTGATTGAAGTATTTTCACTGTAAAACGCTTGAGAAGTCTTGTGGCGTACACTATAGTTCTGTTCTCTTATCTCCCAGTATCAGTTGCTGCGTTGGAATTCCGGCACATGAAAATCAGCTGCAAAATGCATTAAAATGATGTCGTAACATGCATGTTTATGTTTGTGGCTGCCTAAATTAACACTGACTATGGGAAGATATTCTAACGATCGAATGGAATTCTCTCCCACTGCACTAAGCATTGTTAGCTTTATTGGCAACACCTCAAAATTTTTTTTTTAAATATTTAATGACCATTTTTTTAGAAACATTGCATTCTCTGTTTTAAATCATTACTTCAGGTGTATCAGTACGTACTTTGAGAAAGGAGTTGAAATATTTTTGAAAGTTTTAAAGATGAATGTTTTTGTTTTTTCTCATTAAGCTGATAATGCTTGAAAGCAAATATATTTGGTTAAATAAGATGAAGGTTTGAGATATGTCTTCCCTTTTAAAATGGAATGGACCCTTCTGTTCATTGATTTGGATCATTCCATTATGGTAAATATGGATGATACAAATCTAGACTGCTGATGGAATGCTGCACCCACTTTGGTTTATATCTTCCCAGTGAACATTTTTAACCTCACACCTGCATGCTCAAGATTTTCTCCCAAAGCATCTGCAACCTCGCATCACAAAAAGGTGATTGTTAGGCATTTAATTTGTTAAATATGTTTTGGGAAAGGGTTCCAAAATTTAAAAAAAAATTTTTGGATGAAAATTAAAAAAAAAAAAAAAAATGAAAAAATTGAACATTTTTATAAACATTTTTTTAAAAAAATTTTTTAGAAGAAAATTTAAAAAAAAAAAAAAAAAAAAAAAAATGCAGAAAATTGACACTAAATTGACACTATGTATAACATGTTTTTCAAATAAATTGAAATGGAAAGTTTTAGAATATTTAAATTTTGCACAGTTGCTATATCAATAAAGGGCTTACCATGAAAATTAATTGACCTATTTAAACCTGGATAGTACAATTTTTATTTTGTAATTTTGATAAACAGTTGATGTAAAAGTCTGATAGATCTAGATGAAAGAAAATTACTGCAGAAATAATGACTGTTATTTAAGATAATAGACAACAAATTGTGATACAGTGTAATTACAGAATTGTAACGGAGCCGTCAAATTCCGAAATGTTTCTGGTAATATGGCGGAGCAGTCTAGAGATAAAATACTGTGGTGAAATTTACGAGAGACTGGAAGGAAGGAATACCTTCGTAAACAAGCCTAATGGTCATGGTTCCCAAAATAAATCCCGAATTTTATAGACTTCACGTAATTCATTTTACTTGTGGGCTCATAATCAAATTCTTAGGAAACCTTGACAGAATGCCATTAAATTTGCATGAAGAGGAAAGTGTTTGGGTAAAAACATGAAATTTAAAGAGACGGAATGCTACAATTACGTTATTTAAACGAGATTCCTTATCATGACTAGTATGCCAAATGTAACATTTTACGTTGCTCTTCGTTGGAATTTAGGCTTAACCTTAATTATTTACATTTTTATTACAATGTCAATTTCATTGACTAATTATAAAGAGCTATTTTTAGCAACAATAGTAGAAAACCATTCTGGAATTTCTGTCAAAGTTTTCAATTAATGTCAAAGCATGATTGGTTTCAGTTGCACGACAAAAATACCTAATCTGTTTCCGATTGGAAAATATTCACATGTAAATGTACATGCTACTATATATATTGTGAAGCAAAAAAGTTTGAAGCTTTATCAGAGGCTAAACAATGGAAATAAAAATACAATGGAGCAACATTGTATAGTTGATGTTTTAAAATTTATTGTAAGAACAGACCATATCGGTTCAAGAATTCCATGATTGTATAATTTGATCGTTCTTAATAGCATTGTAAATCTTTTGTCATTGGTTGTATTCAAAGCTGGTATCTGACCATCTCACCTTCGTATTCGGCTATATTCTCAAAAAAATATACTTGTCCTTTATATTGGCAATATGTATTTGTTTCAGCTCCGTTCTTTATCAAACATCTTCCCAACTCCATTGACGTCATGGAAGGTATGAACGTCCAGCTCGACTGCATCGTCGAGGGCGACGTTACAATGGTCAAGTACAAACGTGCTGAGGCCAAGGTCGTCACAGAACATTTCCAATCGGGCGACTTTGAAGGAACGTATCATGACGTTCCCATGGCGTCCATTCCTACTATGAGCATGCCCGGTGCGGAAGGAGGGGCTGGGTCACGTCCAAGACTCAACATTCCTGAACAGGGCTCAAAACGTGCACCAAGATTCGTGGAGGAAATGGAAGATGGAACAATTGTCACTGGTAGTATAGCAACCATGTCTGTTGTCGTCGATGCTATTCCAGCTGCCGAAGTCTCCTGGTACAAAGATGGAAAGAAAATAAAGAACACCGGTATGTATTTTTCAGAATTCAATTTTTATTGACATCCATATGTGCGTTTAGGATTTGCCAATGAATGGTTCAGTCCTGCATTCAAATTGAAATTCTTCGGCATCGTACATATTTATCATATATCATTAAAGGGAAGTTATTTTGTAGATACTTGTAGATTGTATACATTGATCAAGAGAGACAAACCAGCCTTGAAACATGTTATACATACAGTATAAAACTAGGATTTCATGCATTGTAATCTTCACATTGAATCGTTGAATTTACAGGGATTTGTTGGTTAATGTAGTGTATAGCGTTGCTCAAGGGAGATAACTCCTACATGTTACTTATAAATGGATAAAGATTTTTATTTTTATTTTTTTACAGACCACTACGAGACATACCTAGAGGACGGTGCTAACAACCTCGAGATCTTCGACACACTTACCTCAGATTCCGGCTTTTACCGATGTGTAGCCCGCAACGAGATGGGCTCTGCAGAGTGCCAGTGTAAACTGGAAGTCAAAGGTAACCATACTTCATTGTCAAGGCTTCTCTATCTATCTCTATAGCAACACATCTGTCTCCCTAATAACAGGTATGGTGTCGATGGCAACAAGGCTTGTCCCCATAGCGACTAAACTTTATTCAAAGACACATACCAATATCTGCTGTAACAAATCTAATATATCTGTCTTGAAAGTAATCAAACTATAGATTTGTAGTTAGTTATATATGTATAATGCACAGCATCGCATGGACCTGGGATTCAGCCTAAATCTTTGGTAATTTTTTTGAATATTTCTGAAATTACCTTTTTGGATGTTTAACAGTGATTTCCAGGCCAATAATCCCAGGTCCTTGTGATAGAAAACACAATTGTACATATAAATCTACTCACTTAAAAAATGTATCTCATTAGAGAAAAAAACTTATTAGAGATTTTTTTTTTTTTAATCTTTGGATTGTAGAAGACTGAATGTTATTCTTACTTACATAATGCCAGTATTACTTTACATGTAACTAGTCTTTCTGGTATTTGAGAATATATTAATTATATAAATAGGCATGCTAATATATTTATTTGTTGATATAGTTTCTATGCTATTTTGTTATCTCTATCTTTAATAGCTCTATATTATTAACTTATTCACCTCCGAAATTTCATAATGAACTATTCCAACCTTTGAATTGGAAGAGTTCAAATGTGTCTTCAGGGGTGAATGAGTTAAGTGAACTGGACAAGACAATTGTACACACATAGTGACCAATATACATTTCTGTGATATATTAGGTTTATGAACCAAAATATGTCAGAGAAGTCATGAATTAACTGGATTCAATTTCATTCAATAAACTGGACTGTGTCACTGTCATGAATAATAGAAACTTGACCAGTGATTCAATTTGATAAATAGTGTTTCATTTATGGATAAGAAATTTTGAGAAATAGCTCTAAATAACCAAATGGGGTTAATTTCATTATTATTGAGCAAAGTTTTCTAACTAGTAATAATTTCTCTTTAAAAAAAAAGAGGAAAAGGGTATGTTTGTAAAAAGGATTCTTAGGATGATGATTGTTTCATAAAAATATTTTAACAGAAACCAAAAGTGTCCAGATTAGCCAGGTTTTACTGTTGTAAGGGTTCTATATAGTAGCATGACTAATCCTTCAGTTATAGGTGACTCTGATACATGTGTGGTGTCCAGATTAGCTAGGTTTTGTTGTAGTAAGGGTTCAATATAGAATGACTGTCTATATTTATACAGCGAGAGGTGACTCTGATACATGGGGGTGTCCAGATTAGCTAGGTTTTGTTGTAGTAAGGGTTCAATATAGAATGACTGTCTATATTTATACAGTTAGAGGTGACTCTTAAGACATGTGGGGATATACAGATTAGCTAGGTTCTGTTGAAGTAAGGGTTCAGTATAGAATGACTGTCTATATTTCTACAGTGAGAGGTGACTCTGAGACATGTGGGGATGTCCAGATTGGCTAGGTTCTGTTGAAGTAAGGGTTCAATATAGCATGACTGTCTATACTTTTACAGTGAGAGGTGACTCTGAGACATGTGGGGATGTCCGGATTAGCTAGGTTCTGTTGTAGAAAGGGTTCAATATGGCATGACTGTCTATATTTCTACAGTGAGAGGGGACTCTGAGACATGTGGGGATGTCCAGATTGGCTAGGTTCTGTTGAAGTAAGGGTTCAATATAGCATGACTGTCTATGTTTCTACAGTGAGGGGTGACTCTGAGACATGTGGGGATGTCCGGATTAGCTAGGTTCTGTTGTAGTAAGGGTTCAATATAGCATGACTGTCTGTATTTCTACAGTTAGAGGTGACTCTGAGACATGTGGGGGTGTCCAGATTAGATAGGTTCTGTTGTAGTAAGGGTTCAATATAGCATGACTGTCTATATTTATACAGTGAGGGGTGACTCTGAGACATGTGGGGGTGTCCAGATTAGCTAGGTTCTGTTGTAGTAAGGGTTCAATATAGCATGACTGTCTATATTTCTACAGTGAGAGGTGATGCAGGTGAGGACTCCTTCAGCACGCCTTCCTATGGTATGCATGAATATTCTTATCCTACACAAATTGGATAACCTGTTTCTCATTTTCATCTATAAAAGCAAATGTGTTTTCAATACAGTAAACAAACTACTGTGTTGTGATTTGTTTGCTGTATTTTATAAATTTTCAATTGTAAGATAGATTGTTATAAAAATCAGCCATATTAGCAAATAAAATGTTGCTTGCAATGTCTGGCATTGGATCATTAACAAATAGAATATCCGACTTTGACAATGTATCTGATAGAATTATTGAATTGACGACAAGGTGTAAATATCGCTCAAATATTTATGTATATACAAATATGATACCTGTAATATGATAAGTTAATTAGTGATGTCTCGTTCTACAAGTGATCTGTTAGATGGGGTAGAATTGATACTGTTTTCTTACTCATTCTCTTTATGACAATACGAAGATTTCCTGTACACAATTGTTCAAGCAAAACCAGATACTTTATACAAATCTTCTAAATATATATTCTGTGGATAAACTCTCTATGATCTAGTATATGCAAGCATTATTTTCTGGATACAGAATGGCTAAATTTGTTGTCAGCCTAAAAAATTTAATTGATGTTTCTAAAATTACAGATGAAAAAGAATCAGGAGTGAAGGATGCTGGTCCAAGGTAACTATGACAACCATTTTAACTTTGTAAGAGATGGAGATTAATATCTTTCAGTACAAATAGCATAGAAAATATTAAAAAAAAAATATTATCATCTGTTACTTTATTTCATAGTGATCACTATTTCCTAACCATTAAAAATACAAAAGGGACTCAGCTGTTCAATGTCTGGTTAGCTTAACGACCAATTAATGAAACTTTTCATCTTTTTCATTTTCCAGATATATTGAAATTTAGATTAAATTTGAATTTGTAGGGATAACAATTAACATACGATAATCCAGACAAGAAATACAAAAACCTTTTTCAATTTTCAGATATTTATAAGAAAAAAGCATTTTGGAAAATTTGGTTTTATAAATTGACTGGTTAATTGAATCAGGCTGTGAATATCTGGGTCAAGACATATTTGATCAAGTTTTTGGTCATCAAATCACAATTCAGATTAAAAACACAAAAAAAAAATATTCTTAGACAATTAAAGATTTCATATGTGTAAGGAAATATTGTAAAACATTTTTGTGTGCTAATTTCCAGGAAATTCCCACCTCGATTTGTCATCGAACTTGAGCCCGAAATAATGGTTGCCATTGGTGACGATGTCAAACTTGTTTGCATAATTGACGACGCCCTTGATGGGGTACACTGGGAAAAGGATGGCAAAAAGGTAGGTTGTCATGGAAACTGTTTTACAGCATATTACCATAACAACCGTTGATTATACCTTGGGTGCAGTTGAAATTGACAATTACGATAAGTACAAGTGATCTCCGTTGTTTTGCACTATGTCCTTTGATAATATCTTGTTAATTGCTCTTTATGGTATTTTCCTGCTGCAGTGACTTAAATTACCGTGTGTTTAACAATGTTGTTCGGCTGTAATGAGTTAATTGCTCATCTTTAAATTTATAATCGATAGAGAAAGAGGTACTGTGGGGGAACTTTGTAACTTTCATCTCCAATTCTTCTGCGATTTGAAAATTATTCCCTGATGAAATACATTCATCAAATAGATCCAGATTGCGGAGAGTCATGCTGAAGAATCTGTAAAAAATTATCTTGAATCTAAATTAACACCAGCCTCAGTCGACAACGAGGTCTAGAGCTTTTGATTGTGTTTGTATACCCAGTGCACTGATAGATATGGGTTCAACTCCAGCATCGGTGGCATGACCTGTGTTTTATCTCTTAGCAGTCATCAAGTAATTATATTGATATTGTTTAACTCTGGGCAGGGTTTGATGAACGTATTGATCGTCTGCATCAAATTTAGTGTTAGAAAATGTATGTGAAATAAAATGAAACATAGAACAATTCAAACTATATCTACAGGAAGTCAAAACTTTATGTTGTTTAAGAAAAATGGAAAAAATATCATTTAAAGAATGTGAAAGTGATATCTGTGAATTTCAATTTATAAAGTTCTTTCAAATGGAATATTTTCGATAATAACTAACACTTAGAATTTTTGAACTTCAAGGGTTGACAATATGTAAATAAAAAAATAAAAATAAAAAATCTACTCGTGAAAATTGTCTCCCAATCCCTTTGGACTTTCATATTTCGTAAGTACAATATGTCAGCCTAAACTTTACAAAGCTTTTATTTCTATATTGTAGATGTCTGGAAATTCTAGAACGAAAATTGTGCAAGAAACTGACGGGACACAACAACTAGAGCTCTCTAAAGCCGTGCAATCAGACGAAGGAATTTACTCTTGTATCGCCATGACAACATCAGGCAAAATCGTGACAACCGAAACAAAACTACATGTGACAGGTGAGTGAACTAAACCAGACAGAAGGTTTTCCAAGTTCTATTCCGACTTGCGTATTGCAAAGTTATCTTCTCTTGGGAGCAGGTATTGATTGTTACGTCATTGGTCTGTGTGAGAAAATTACGTCGTTTTCTCAAAAATTGATGACGTTACTCTCACAAACAAGTGACGCAACAATCAATACCTGCTCCTAAGAGAAGATAACTCTGCAATACGCAAAGACGGAATAGATTAATTGTGATTTTTATTCCAATTTTCTGAAATGCTGCTGAAATCTTGTATTATGGTTGTGGTTCAATTTCTTCTTTTTTCAAAACAACAATTGTTTGTGAGGATACCAGTTCAGTTATTTAGGTTAACTAATTTCATGACAACAGAAATCAAAACGATTAAGATTTAGGTGTTAATGATTTAATTGAGTACAGTAACAGTAATGTTTTACTTTTTTATGAGAAGTATTTTTTTTCTATATTATTTTTATGAGAAGTATGGGAGATAACTCCGTCAGATCTGTTCCCATGATACACAAGCACCCATGCAGAAAACCTTTAATGGTGACAATCAAAAACAGTATATCTATCATCTTATGGTGTATGATATGAGTTTGATTTTATTTACAGAGGAGAAAAGCCAGCCCTTAGCTGTTGGGTAAGTTAAATATACTTTCTTCTTTTGGTGTGTCTGTTTAGACAGGTTCACACGTGTCAGATTATATATGTCACATGTGATAGATTAATTCAAGAGTTAAGATGACTGAGATTACTTGTTAGATAATAGAGATCACTATGTTGTAAATTAGTCACAGGTCACTAAATGTCAGCTTGACAGGTCACTATATGTCTGATTAGACAGGTGACTATATGTCAGATTAGATAGGTCTCTAGATGTCATATAAGAAAGGTTACTAGTTGTCAAATTAAACAGGTCATTAGTTGTAGGATTAAATATGTAACTAGTAGTCAGATAAGATAGGTAACTAGTTGTCAGATTAGAGAGGTTACTTGTTGTCAAATTAAACAGGTCACTAGTCATCAGATTAGACATGTCACTAGTTGTTAGTTAAAGAGGTTACTAGTTGTATGATTAGAAAGGTCACTAGCTGTCAAATTAGATAGGTCACTAGTCATCAGATTAGACAGGTCACTAGTTGTTAGATTAAAGAGGTTACTAGTTGTCTGATTAGACAGGTCACTTGTCAAATTAAACAGGTCACTAGTCATCAGATTAGAGAGGTCACTTGTCATCAGATGAGACAGGTCACTAGTTTTTAGATTAAAGAGGTCACTAGTTGTCAGATTAGAGGGGTCACTAAATGTCTGATTAGACAAGTCACTAGATGTCAGATTGGACAGGTCACTATAGTTGACAGATTAGACAGTTCATATCTTTGAGATAACAGAGAGAATTTTGTGCAAGACTATCTCAGTAAGGACAAGTGAAGTGTTATTTGATTTCCAGTAATCAGGGTTATATATACGTTTACAGTGCAGAGACCAAACCAAAGTTTACAAGCCAGCTGAAAGACAGTTACTGTAAGGACGGGGAGGAAGTTACCTTGGAATGTGAGGTCTCCGGACTGCCACGCCCACAAATGACCTGGCACAAGGACAAACATGAAATCCTCGACAGTCAGGTAGGAAATTTGTGATTTTCCTGTTCTGTCACAGCCTGATCCCTGGTTTGTAATATCAGTAATTTTCATAAAAAAATATCAGCTAAAAATTAGAACCTTAATAATATTGCAATTGTATATCCGTCATTAAGTTCTGTACAAACATTGTCACTTTTGTCACTTATGATATTATTTAGCTAATATTTTCACTTTTAGGGAGAAACTTGTTTGATCTTTGAAATTCAAAATTTATTCGAAGTACTTATTTTTGTAACACTGATATTTCATGTTGCGATTACAGGATTTCCAGATCAGTACCATTGGCAACAAGTGCCGACTGACAATCGCCGAAGTTTTCCCCGAAGACGAGGGCCGATACATCTGTAAGGCTGTAAACTCGCTAGGGGAGACAACTGCGTCATGCCAACTCCTTGTAGAAGGTAGGCGCTAAGGCTATTGTTGTCATCACATCATATAGCTTGCCGTACCTCACTCATATATATGTTTGTAAGCACTGACATAACATCCGATGTCCATCGTACAAATATATTCTGTCCATAAATTGATCATGTACAACATTTAAATTGAAGTAATATTTCTAATATTACGAAATGACTTATCGGTATGTCAATACAATGAATTTAAATCTGATATATTATGTCCATTAAACTACTTTTAAATGTGCTCAAATTAAATATGTGTAAATTTTGTTTTTGTCCATAAAAGATATATTATAAAATGCATGTTTGCCCATAGAAAAGAAGCAGATTTTATGACAGTCTCATTTCAATATATTAAATATCTGCTAAAATGATGTATACAATATGTACTTTTATATAGATAGGTTGTGATATTTATTCTCATTTTACATTTAGATTCCAACTGAAAGTTGCATAAGTGATTTTGATGTATAGTTTAATAATCACTCAAATATATTTAAAAATACACAAATATTATATCATATTATATTTTAAGATATTCCTGCTCTAAATTGTATATTTATTTATATATGATAGGATGTAGTATTTATTGATTTCTCTAAATTATTGCCAAATCATACCTTGTAGATATTTATTCCCATATTTAAATTCAAATTGTATATCCTAAAATAATTTATCAAATTGTATATCTTAAAATAATTTATCTATTAATTTTTATGTTTTATGCACAGGCATGTAAATTATTTTCTTATTAATCTAGTAAAAATATGAAATTGATGATTGTAATCATTAATTCATAACTTCATTGAAAATTATGCTAATGTTAGAAATGTATTTTTAATCAAAGCAAAGTGTGCATTGTATAGATTTGATTACAATATTGACCTTAGTTACACTGTAGAAAGAATTTCACTGTATAATTAAAATGTAGTTTAAACCTCAATATACACTGTAATACTAAAATCTTACCATTACTAAGAACATCTTATTTCAAAAATCTTTTTTGACATTAAACTTTCCTTTGAATCTCACATTCTCTTCTTGTATATCTAATAACTTATTTCTGTAACCGAACATTGTCACGTATTGTACTTTCTTTAAAAAATCGCTAAAACTTTTTCCTGTAAAATGAAATTCAATTTGTTTCAATTCAGACTATTTAACACTTATTATTTTCTTCGTCTTTGAGCTCTTCAGGGGGAAAATCTGTTGTAAACCCTTGTCTCTGTTGGGTATCACAAACTCGACCCTTTGGTCGGATTCTATCATCTGTGTATGTCTCTCAGTCAGTCTGTCATCCTTTATTTGTCCGTTTTCCTCCTCAGACACTCTATCCTATGATTCTGCCTCCATGTCATCATCAACTTATAGTCGTGGTAAGCCTGATAAATTCTCATATCAGTAGCACTTTACAGGGAACAAACCGAGTTATCTCCCTTTGTTTTGGCAATCAGAGTAATCTCTCTTTGTTCTAACTCTCTAATATTTCCTTTATAATCGTGCAGAACATTTTTTTTATGGAAATAATCACTTTTTTATGAGAAGTTTTTTTTTCTTTCTATTTTACTTTTTATGAGAAGTATGGGAGATAACTCCGTCAGATCTGTTCCCGTGATACACAAGCACCCAAGCAGAAACCCTTTAATGGTGACCATCAAAAAACAGGGTTTTCAGTAATAGTGGAGTATCTTTTATATAAATTATGTTCAATGGATACATTCAGCAGCCATGAAGTATCATATATAATACCCTGTACTCAGTTTTAATGTCCATAACTGTATTACATATACTTTCATTCTTTGTTGTAAAACTTTTTACTTATCATGATGAATAAGGAGTTCTCTTTGTTGAGTCAATTATAGAGTCTAAAAACTGTCTTTATAAATCACTATCTACCTCCGACTATAAATATCAGGTCTGATGGTCGCCACACCAAGGGCTTTCTCTACTTACTAAGGCCACACAAACTTAACGAAGAAATCATTTTTCATGCTCCAGAATTTTTTTCAATGCTTTGACAAATTCAAAATTGGGTTTTGTTTTACTACTCTTTCGGTGATTTTACATTGGAACATAGTAAAATATTTTGACTTGCCTAATTTTTCCAGAATAAATGCGGGTTTTTTTGTAAATAAATCAAAAGGAAGAGAGACAACTCTTGAACCAATCTTTCATAACTGCAATAAAAACATCTTTATGAAAGAGAAATCAAGATTCTTCTGTGGATATTAAGTTTATAAAAATATTCTAAACAAAGACTAATAATAATTGAAATTTTACGATGAAATACTAGCATGTATATCAAAATCATCCTTTGAAGAAATATGTGTAAACTTTACCTAAAAACCTATATTTTCTTTGTGTGGCCTTACCTAACTTTATATTCAATAGAAATATGTGTTTTTTAGACTAGATTCATTATTCATAGCATGATTTATGTGGGACAATTACTTTGTATACATTAAATTTAGTGATAACAAGAATGATTAGGTATAAAGATGACGTATCGTATTCCACTTCGTACTGATGTTGCACCTTTGTTGTCTGTCTGACGATGTTTGTTGTCACCATGTGATTTGTTGTTGTTTATGTTTACATTGAGTTTATTACACATATCATGATCACGAATTATAATTTGATACGTTATGGTGGTTAAAGATGCAGTAAAACCTTGATATAATGCCTGACGTTCATATACAGCATTACCTCGATATAATGTCATTTGATTATAAAAACCTTGATATAATGCCTGAATTTCATATACAGCATTACCTCGATATAATGTCATTTGCTTATAAAAACCTTGATAAAATGCCCCTTGTTATAAACAGTTCAATATATAATGCCCCTATTTCATATACAGTAAGACTTTGATATAAGGCCGCCTTGCCTATATAAAAAGTCATTATAGTGTCCCTAATTTACGAACAGTAGAAACTTAATATAACGCCCATCATCATGTCTCTTTTCTTCACATTTTCTTCACATTTTTTTCACATTTTCTTCCCACCGATGTGTTTCAACATCCTCTTTTCTGTTTTCTAAACCATTCCTATTTAATGTGTCAAATTTGGTATATCGCCAAACCTCTTTATAATGTCAAAATGTCACCAGACAAATGGTGGCAGTATAACAAGGTTTTACTATATGTAGATATGATACCACTTTTCTGTTCTTTTTTTGTTATTGTATTTTTTTCCAGAACAAAGATGAATCTTATTTGAATTGTTGCATGTCTATATCATTTTATGTTTATTCATGATTCAAATGATACAGTTGTGAGATTTATTTGAAAAAAAAGTCTTGTAAGAACTGAACTACAATTCCGGATTTGTCATAAATCAGAACGACCTGTCATATCCTGATGTAACCACTGTTCCCTTGTTCCTCTGTCACGAGTGTATGATGATTTGAGACACGCTTAGTATACACCACTACACAGGAAATACATTTGAAAAGTGTATTGCATCATAATACATATCATAGACAGATGATATGCATATTTCTGCATTTGTCCTAGAGATACGAAAAACACTTCCCATACAATGTATTTCCATGTTTTTCTGTCATGAATCTGTGATGAATCTAGACAAGTTCTTTATACGCCACGTTTTAATCATTAAACAGGAAATACATTTGAAATGTGTATTGCATCATTTTGCATTTCATAGGAAGATGACATGCATATTTTTGCATTTGTCGGAGATACGAACAGCACTTTGTATACAAAATACACCCCATAAATCATAGATAACTTGTGGATACGAGCGTGATATATGAATCATACATGCCGATGTACACGATATGATAATTCTGCTGACGACAATGTGCAATGTTGGTTTCTGAAAACAGAATTTTATCAGGGTGTTGGCAGAGCACCCCTGTGGTGTTAAAATCACAAAACAAACATTTAACTGAGTCCGACATTCTCTAAACTGATATATAACAAGTAGCAGACGCATCAAAAACAAACATTGATGCGACCTTGTGGTTAGGTGGTGAAGATTCCGAGTGCAAAGTGTACTTGTTTAGAGCCGTCGAGCTTCGTCATTGTGTTGTGTACCCGATTAAACAAAATAAAGTTAGAACTCCAGACGTGTATGCGAGTGTAATCGTCGTCATCTTATATCACTATTTAAGATTTCACAAACGACAAATTCGGTGAACTGTCCCGTTTTGTTACGTGACAATTAGTCCCACGATATTTTATCCGTCCCGAAGATGTTCTTATCAAATGTATAAATTTCAGCACTGATTCTTTAACAAAAGAATCTTATCAAATATCTTAGTTTAATGGTAATCTTTTCATTATAAATTGGGGCCCTTCAAGAGCCTACAATTTATTTCGATATAAACAATTTATAGTGTGTTCATTTTTTATGGGTAAATTTGCCCATCTTGCATGTTATTAAAATCTTTTTTTGAAATAAAATTATTAAATGTAAAATTTCAAGTTGTTTATTTTGTTTGTTTGTTTGATTCCCCCCTTATAAATCCCTAATTTAATTGTAGACAAGTTTATTGTCCTGGGACCATTGCCCAGTAGTATAGTGGAAGATTGGTGTAAACTAATTTAGATAAACCACCTGCATTTAAATACTGATTTAAAAGCTGGAGATGAGTATCGCATGGAACGCCTTCAGACCATAAATTGAATTTATAGAGAGATTGTAATTCATTATACTAAGAAGGGGGAGCTATGTGGCTTGAAGATTGAAGAAATTAAATAATTATAGATACTGTAGGTTCTACAGAATTAGCCAAGTTCATAACCGTTAAAATGTGTATATCCAGAAATTATTTTATGTCAAAGATTGGGAGCGACCTTGTGACCTTTACCATATTTATCCATTTATAAGTGCATGCCTGGTAGTAAGCCCACTCATATTCCCGTAAAAATACTAATAAATGTTGTTTCATTGTCCAGTTATAAGACACACACACACCCGTATATTTTTGACAGACATGTAACATTCTGTAATATCACCCTCTATGTCAAGCATCACAAGAACAATATGTTATATATCTATGACGAAGGCATCACTGGTTGTGCTTTTCTTTGATTTTTCCACTTGAAATATTCAAAATGTGTACTGGACATGCTTTGGGTGAGTATGATATGAAAAATCCAATTCCATCAGATTTTTCATAAATGTTGTAATAGTAATTAATGGGATTTATTCATCATTCCCAAAGTCATTATTAACACTTACGTTAAAATCCTATTGCACACCATGCATGCAGAGTAAGAGAAAATGTGGGTGGGCTTATTATCAGGTATGGGCTTATCTTTGGTAAAATATGGTAATATACTGGTTATCACCATTGTAACAGTATCATTGTACATTAAAGTTTTACTGGGGTGATGAGGGGGGCCCTAAATCATGGGTACTTGTTATGATGTGTCGGAAACAATCAGACGTTTGACAGTCTTCCTGATAACGTAACTTGAATTTCGTAACTTGAATTTCGATGCACACAGTATTTGAGAAGCACTTTAGTTTTATCAGGTTTGTAAGTGTATTAATTGCGATGAATCATTTCTATTTCGGTCTGAAGTGATGTCCATGTTTTAGAAACAGGATCAGGAGGGTTTCCACGTACAAAACACGGAAGGACGTGTATGTGTGGTCGGATACACAACAAGGAAGGGGCGGATATGATGATACGAAGGGTGTTCAATTTGGAGAAGTGACTCATTTGACTGGTTTTCATGTATATCGTGTGATTTATTATCCACTAATACAGTATACTTATATTTCCCCTCAGAAGAAAGGTAGACATGTTGTATTGGTGTGTGTCTTTGTCTCGGTTAATATGTAATTCTCGGGTCTATATAACCATACAGTCTCCACATTAAAAGTTAATAATTGTTAAATATTTGATTTCTACTTTTTCGTGTTAGTGTTAACAGATTTTGCACATTTTATATATAAGTGGTCTTTATGAACGACTTCTTGGTAAGTTGGGTGGCACAGTAGATAACGCACTCGCCTTTCACCAAGCGATTCAATTCCCTGATCGTACGTGAAAAAGTATGGGTAACCTGCCTGACCACGTGGGTTTTCTCCAGGTGCTCTGGTTTCCTCCCACATTAAGACCCCCATTGTACTAACATCCAGGCCAACAAGATGGTGATTAATATAAATTGAAATAAGTTTCTTAATTGTTGTAAAATAAATAAAGTTTAAGTTATATCAACAACTTTATTGTACACTCTTGTCCAGTCGATTGTCCTTGTATCCAGCTGGTGACCAGTCGAGCTATTGACCATGTTGGTTTTGTACCTGAGTTTGGACCAGGAGATGTTATGGAGTTACTGTACTAAATCAACACACTTTATCTACTATGACCACAGTATCTGGTAGTAAATGTT